TGAACCAGTTGTCAAAGTACAGCTTGTAATTTTTCTGTTGTGGTACTGGTTGAGCGAGGCGGAGGACAACATTTCCACTGGCTCCTATATCTACCAACTGGGGGGGCTGCACTACTTTCCCAGTGTACACTTCAATGTTGTGTGGAATACCATCAGAGCCAGCCAAGACCATTAGCTTATACCCCCATTTTTTGGGCTTCTTGGGGAGATATTGCTTCAGGCGATTTCGTCCCTTAAATGGGACCATTTGCTCATCAACGCTCAGCTTCTCTGACATGGGTATTGCATTCATTTTAGAGACAAGATGAGTAATCAAGGGTCGGATCTTGAACAGCTCATCAAAGTTGTCATCAAAACGACCTGGTTGATCATCATTATCATTGAAATGCAGGAATCTCTTGATTTCTTCCCATCTGTTTAGAGGTAGTGCCAAACGTGGGTTCGTGGATAAAAGCCCATACAAATAAACTGACAATGGACGCATAATGCCCCGGAGGGATCGTAGGGTGAATTTGGATGACAGATGCCCACTATCTTGTAGACGAGTGGGCCTTTATTAATAACACCGCTATTCACGGATCCTTACCCACTTGCCATGGAATAGGGGTTATTCGGACACCTCTAGTGGGCGACAGAGAGCATATTGCCCCCAGGACCCCCTCCCCCCCCCCCCACCCCCACCATCCCACCCACCCCACCCACCCCACTAACCCACTATTTGTTTTTCAGACGAGCTGTTTGAAACATTTGATGGCCTGGCGGCGCTGTGCAGCCCCAAAGACCTGGAGGCCGCTACAGGTATGAATCCCCCGTGTCATCACAATCCTAATAGTGCTGCAGACAGATAATCGATAAGTGGTCAACTACATAGATGGTTTGTTTTTCAGAAGTACAGCCTCCCGTCGTTGCTGATTTGGCACCATTCGGGTTAGCGCCGGCAGAATCCTGGGATGTTGACATGGGTGCGAGTCCATTTATCACCACAATTCCTGATAGTGCTGCAGTTACTCGATGAGCGGTTAACTAAATTTATGTTTTGTTTTTCAGACGATCTCCTCCCCCAATTTCTTTGGTTTTGATTTGTGTCACTGTGTGTGTGTGTGTGTGTGTGTGTGTGCGTTGGTGCGACCGGATTATGAGGACAAAAACCATGGATACATACCGACTCTATGAGGACATGCCGTAACTACGAGGACAGCACTACTGTCCTCATAAGTCGAGCAGTGTAGAAAGGCATTTCACGCTGCGCCTAACCACCTCCCGCTTTTTCTCAATATGTCCTTATAAATCCGTTGTACCCGTTTTTCAGTGTGTGACAGTGTATGCTCAGAGTCGCTCAGAGTGTATAATCTCCCTCTATGTGAAATTCGACGCTACTGCAGTATCATACACATTTCATACACCCAGACCACGCCCAAGCGCGATTCATTGGTGGAACGCTGGAATCCTCGTCAGTGATTGGCTGCTGGAATCCTCGTCAGTGATTGGCTGCATTTCACATCCGTCAAAGTCAGCGCGCCTGCGCCTCTGATCTTCTATCGCAGACGTGTGGTGTGACGGTGTGATTAATCAGAAGATTAATCATCATCATGAAAGATTAATTAGCAGAATTCGAGCGAAGTTGACGAGCTATAGTGGGAGATTTTCACTTTATCACGAGGAAGGTAAGTGCGTTTATTTATATATTCTACCTTTATGGAGTTAAGTGTCGTGAGTCAGACAGTTTTTAATAACGTTAGCATTACTTTAAACGTGGCCACTAAACGTGGCTAATATAAGTCCATAAGCAGTTGGATACTAGTATTAGTATTAGTTGATGAAAGATACATCTCCATGGATGCTTGAGAGAATTAATTTACATTTTGAAATAAATCAAATCTATGTTGTCATCATGATGACTGGTAAAGTTGAGTGGATGAATTTACAGTTTAATACAGTAAGATACAGAAATATATTAAATAAACAGAAACGAGACTAATGTAAAAGTATACTTTCATTAATGTAACGTTACTGTCATTAGAATGACTTGCCAAAATTATCTGGTTGATTCATTTTAGGGCTGGATATTAGCAGACATTTTATGATTCCATTCAATTTTAATTCACGTGCTTTCGATTCTATTTCCTATTCGATTTTACATTTATTATTTTAATGTAAATCAGGTGTAATACATGTAACATTTTCTAAAACTTTCTCTCTATAGTTAATTTTTCTAAGTAACGAGTTTAGCTTCATTTGATCTGAGGCGCCACATTAAAGAGTGATAAAATGGACTGAATTTGAAATCGGAGACTGTTTCTTATCAAAAGTAACAAGCCTCAAAACCTCACTGATCAACTATTTCTGTGTAAAATGTTGTATTTATTGATATAGACTAAAGTCTGACAATAATGTACTGTATATTAAGCATATCTATCTATCTATCTATCTATCTATCTATCTATCTATCTATTTATATTTATATATTTATAAATACATACTAATTATGTTGTCTGGAATGTTTTCAGTCAACATGTTAAGAAAGAAGAGAATAAAACCTGAGCAGGATGCAAAAGAACACATATTGTCGGGCAAAGACAAAGCCTTCATTGAGGGACGACAAATCAACACATTCAAAGGTAAATTGTGCACCACAAGGCAATTTGACTATGTTCAGACTGCAGGCAAATCAAATCATAAAGTAGGCATGCACTTGTAAGAATGAAAAGTAGGCCTATTGCTGGCAGTCTGGACATGATCTTTCACATTCACACATTTTACCCTTGGGTAAGCCGCTCATTTTCATAAAGGTTAAGAGATGAAAAAAAAACTTTAAACAATTTTTTTATAATTATTATTTTAAAATAAATACATAAAACTATGTATACGGAGAATAGTGTAACCAAATTCAACTAGTAGGCTATATCACAGTGAAAACCAATGCTTGATTATTTTTTTTATTTTTTTTATTTCCTGCACCTCATATTACATTACACAGTTTTACAGGATTTAACTCTTTAAAAGGATAGGTTGGTTAGCTGTGTAACATATAGGTGCACTTGGATTCATGTTTTATTTGTATTATTATATTTTTTTTTGCCCTTTTAGGGAGAGGTGTGTTTGCACTTGAGCACATTGAACCATCCACCTTTGTTGTTGAATACCGTGGGATTCTCTCTCAAAGTAAACATGTTAAAGATGTTCAAGGCAACTACTTGTTTGACTTCACATGGAATGGAACACGTTATTGGTAAGCTGGCTGTTTCTTTTTTGGTTTATTTATTTTTGGTTCATATTCAGAGCAAACTAGTTGCATGTCATTCTAATAAAAACAGTTATGATTATGATTTATTATTATTACTATTATTATTACAATATAGGGCTGCACGATTTGGGGAAAATGTCATTGTGATTATTGAGGTCAATATTGCAATTGGAATATGCGATTGCGATATAATAAACAAATGGTTTCATGAGTCAACTTGCTTGGTTCTAAAGCAAAATGCACACACAGATTAGTGATAATTCTGAAATGTGTATTTCTCAACTCAAACTAGCAACAACAACTAAATGATTGATAACATCTAAGCCATTGATGTCTGGATAAAAATTAATCCACCCCCATTTAAAACATTAATTATAGCCATCCGACATTACAGTGATTCCATCATTACAATTGAAAGCTATAATTTAAAAAAAAAAACATTTATTAGACGTCAAAAAATATAACAGCTTTTAATTTAAGTGAACTTCAAATAATCCTCACATAAACCCATTATAAATGACATGTCATATTTACCTGTGCCCTTCCTGTCTAACAGGTATGCAGAAATTTAATAAAGTTATCAAACAGCAAGTATGCAGACTCTGCGCTGCATAAATAATAAATAGACTAATCCTTATTAAAGCTACATAAGTTCTTTAGTCAAGAGCAGTGAGTAATTTTCTCTGTCCCCTTTGTTCTGTGATTAACTTTACTGACAGAAAGCTTTGGCTGCTGGCCCTTTAAGAGCAGCCGCTGATGACAGAGACACGGATCTCACATGCGCCTCATCCTCTCACAACTCTATACGTCCATCATAAGACTGCTCTTATGTTATGAAGATACTCGACAAACGACATTTTGGCATAATTGTGTGTGTTGTTGTTCGTTCAAGAGCGAAAGAGAACTGTATTCTGGCGCGTGTCTTTCTGTGAGTCACAGTCGGACATTCAGCGCGCTCTCTTTTGACTTGTCTCGCATGAATGGTTTTAAGCAATCGCATGAGAGCATTATCATGTAACACTAGCCAAAAGATGACAAAAAATAACAGATGCTGCGTTAATTGCGTTAACAGCCCATTGTTTATTTTACATAAAATTGCAGCATTTTGCGCCATATAATCGCACAGGCTTGACATCGCGATTACGATTGCGATAAGATTAATCGTGCCGCACTATTACAATAGCAGATTTGCTAGGGTTCTCATAACATTAGGAACTTATTAGTTAGTGATAATCAATAACATGGTTATTGTTCAACTGGGGTATTATTTTTTTTACCTTAAGTGGATCATCTGACCTATTAAATTCTTAGGAAGTCAAGTTAACTTTCACAATGTGTATTTGAATATAGGTTAAATAGGCCAAGGTTAGCCTAACCCAAATGTTCAGTTAGAACCGTATGTTTCAGTGTGTGTCTATGTTTTAAGTTTCTTACTGCACTATTTTTATCACAGCATAGATGCAACAAAAGAGGACGGTGGAGGAATGATGATGACAAAAATCCAAATTGCAAAGTCAAGACAATCATTGTTGACGGAAGGCCACACCTGTGTCTGTTTAGTATAAGACATATCTTTCCAGATGAGGAGGTCACATACAACTATGGGGATTCCTCTTGGCCTTCGCGTTTAAGGGTGAGTCTCTTAAAGACTTTATCACTGAAAGTCAACCATGTTCTGTATTTCATGAATGTTAGTTTTTTATATGATGCAGATTATTAAAAAAAATTCTGCACGTCTGCTTTGTGCACGACGGAGCCATGAAAGGGACACTAGATATTTAGTCTTTGGTTGATACTAGAATTAGTTGCGGTGACCAATTGGCAAACATCCTTGCCTCAGTGTTGTACCTGTCTTTCTCATAATTACAGGAATTGTGTGACGAGACATCAGTGGCTGTGACTGAATGCAGTGTGAATCCTTCCTCATCAGTGAAACAGAAAGTAAGTGAGCGCATGTTCCTTCATTGTTTTCTTCTCTTTGACACAGGCAATGTTAAGTGTAGGATGGTTGGGCATCATGCTAGACTGGTTGACGTGGACTGTCGTCTTAAAGACGCTGTTGTGACGTCTCAAATTCGAGTAAAATGTACATTGCTCGGTTCATTCATTTTCATAACTCGTGCGTTGGGGGATGGGCATGACACTGACCTGAAATATAAGGACAGTTCTCCACTACGAGGACCATCATGTCAGGGTTAGGGTTTGTGGAAAAGATGTTGCTTTGGGTACAGTTGGTACTCAACAAGAATAATACTTTTACTGCCGCGGGGGTAAAATTCGGATGTGTATTTGCTGCCTTTTACCGCTAAGAGGCGCTACAATCAAGGTGTCAGTTTATTCTCTCTATTGCGTAATCTACCGCCGCGCCGCGACTCATTCAGAGCGATTGAAAGCTTGTAAAAGATGAATTCAAGTGAAACATTGTAGTTAAACGAATTCATAATCACAATACTGAAATTAAATTGAATAAATAGTGAAAACATTACAACATAAAACATTGCAACAGAAATATATTAGGCTATCAATGAGGGTCTGGAAGAGCATAAGACGTAATTTAATAGCGTTCAGGCGGTAGCTCAGTGGTTAACGCAACAACATGAGCCTCACGGAGCTTCAAGCGATCCGAGATCCAATCTCAATGTAGCCAACTCATCTCAATGTTGGCCGACTTCATTTATGTTTTACCGTTCTTGATGCTTAAATAGGTAACTGTTTATTAGCGAGTTCATTAACTGTTTATTTATTTAATGTCAAGCGTTTTGTTTAATTATCAATGCCACATTAACGTAAATTTGCTACATTCCATGTCCGCTGCACGACAAAGCTGATGAGGGAAATGAAAATAAATAAAAAAAGAAAGCTGATCGCGTCAGAAAATGAAAATAATGAAGCTTGTCTTTAATCTGCTAAATTATTGTTTTGTGAATCATTCACGAAATTGAGTTGACTGACAGTGAGTGATACCTGGCCATAGCAACGGGAGAAATTTTTCAAAACAGATCCATACATTGAACAAATCAGAAAAGACTGATTTTGTTGACTTGACAGACTAACTAAATAGTATTACTTTCAATATAAAAACAAATGAAAATGTAAAAGAACACTACAATTAATTAAGTTTGAAACCCATCGCAAATTTTGAAGAATGTAAGAAACACAGAATCTTATTCTTGCAACATTTTAAATTTGTATTGCCAAAGGAATTTCAGCTAAATTAAACAATTAAAACAGTACAAAACGAAAATAGTCCAAAGCCACATAAATTAAGAACATGCGTTTTTCTTTGCCTGTCTCTCGTGCTGGATCTCTTTTTAGCAAGTTTATTTTGTCTCCCTCCCTCCCTCCAAAAAAAAAAAACTGTAACAAATTATTAAGCCTTTGTTGCTTCAAAGACACAGCATGCCTTGTTGAATTCACCTTACAATAAAACGAGGTTGAATTAAAGAGCTCTGTATCTGCTGTGGCATGAATGTGTTTAGTCAACAGTTAATGTTTAGATAATGCCAGATTGTTGACAATCATACACAGTGCTCATTCTAAAACTCTAAAACTCTACAAAACCAGTTGAAACAACTGGATTGAACACTTTAATTGAAATTTTGTGTGAAAACTTTAAATACAAAAAATAAACTACAATATTTAATAAGATATAGGGCCTACATTTGGACACACCGAGAGATTTATAAGAATTTAGCCTTTGCCTGCAGGCTGGCTATCCGACATCTCCATATGAAAGAGGAACATTAACACCTATTGTGCCGATAAAGCCACTGTCCCTCCAACCCCCCCACAGGCTCTCTGAGTCTGAGACTGACTTACAACAAAAAGAAGTCGCAATTCACACTTAAACCGCTATTCTAGCATTAGACTATTAAAGTGTTGATAATGAAGGAATTAAATAATGTAAGCTACATGTAGTGATATTTCTGTCATGAAACTTTATTACTAAATATTTCATTTCAATAATTCATTCAATTTCAATAAGTTGTTCTTTTTTATTCAAATAAACCTCGAACCACAGTGCTTTGTTGTGCTGCTGTTAAACTAAATAACATTTATAGAATAATTATGAACTTAAATGAAACAATATAGCAACATTTCTACAAAAATTATTTGATCTGCTTTTACATTTTAATTCAGGGCGATTTAGCCTACATTTAATTAGAGCGAGATTTTCCCCCTTGCCTTGTCCTTTCCTCGTTGGGAAGCGCTCACATCATAGCTAAACATGTTTGAGTAGATCCTCTGTACCTCTCAGTTTCAGATGGATTACATAATCAGATAACATTTATTAAATATTTAGACATTTAAAGGCTTTAGACATAGCCGATTTCTTATCGTGACTGAGCTGAGGCAAGTGGTTTTCGGTTCATTTTTGTGACGCGCAGTTCTCGGAGACAGAGACGAGACGACAGCTAAAATGTTGTTAGCCTAATATGAATAGAAGTTTACAGTTTTGAACGATGTAGGCAAAAAATACGGAGTAGCCTATTAAGTTATTTTAGCTGTTATGAGAAAAATAAATCCAAATGAACGCGCCGCCGTGTTTGTCGAACTCTAATTCAACATGCCAGAATAAAACCCGACTTTAGAACAATAGCGACACTCGGCGTGGTGTGCCAAAACACTTAATTATAAACTTCAATATTTCATTCAAAATAATCTCAAAACGCTTTGTGACCTTTTGAAAAGCCGTGCATGCATTAAGGCCACTGGAACTAATGAACAACTGAAACGCTGGTTTTGATTTTATTGTTTGTCGTTTAAACGTGCCTGTTGCATATCTCTATTTTATATATTGTATATGGTATATTGGTGAAGTAGCCTATAGCCTATAGGGAATCCCAAAAATGTATATAGGCTATAGCTATTTATAAATTACGATTGGTATTATTATACAGATGTAAAGTCATTCTGTTGGATACTATTTGTTCCAGTGTAAAATGGAAATGATTGGCAATTTTATTTTATAAATATAAGCAAAAACTATATGGTGTAACAGAGTTTTAGAACTAGACAAATCTCTCTGCATTAATAATCGGATATAAAATGCATTAATAGGCTAATATAAAATTTACAAAAGTACCAAGTTTGTTCGGGATTTGAACCCGTGTCATCTAAATGATCGAACCGTAAGTTCTTCCACTCGGCCATGATTTTACTCTTTGTGAAATGACCAAACGTTTGTTTCTCCAGTGTGTTCGTTCACATGAGCGAGAAAACGTTTTATCGTTAGCATATTGTAGACCTTTTACAGTTTAAAAAAAGATGATATCTTATCTGTATGACCAAAAATTACGGAGTAGGCTAGCCTTTTAAGTTCTTTTAGCTGTAATGAGAAAAAAATGTATTCAAGTGAAAGTGCCGCCGCGTTTGTCGAACTCTAGTTCAACATGCCAGAATAAAACCCAATTTTAGAACAATGCGTAGCGCCACTCGGTGTGCCAAAACACTTAATTATAAACGATCAATATTTCGTTCAAAAACATCTCAAAACGCTTTGTGACATTCTGAAAAGCCGTGAATGTATTAAGGCCACTGGAACCAGGATCATAGCTGAAACGCGCTGCATGTTATCTCTCAATACAGGAGCAGAAGCGCCAGTTCAGATTGTATCGTTTGTTGTTTAAACGTGCGTGTTGCATATTTTTAAAAATATATAATATATTTGATATGGTCTATTGGTAAATTAGGCTATAGCATTGATTACTGTGGAGGGGGGAAATCCCCCACCAGCAAATCGCACCTTGTTACACAACCATGTTTTTAAAAACTCTTTCTGTAGCCTATATGGAACCCCATGAAGTTTTTTTTTCTAGTTTTTTTTTAACATAACTGCTTTTGAAATTGCGATTGGAATTATTATACAGATTGATATAAATTAAGTCAATCTGTTGGATAATATTTGTTCCTTTGTGTAAAATGGAATCGGTTCATTCATTTTCATAACTCGTGCGTTGGGGGATGGGCATGACACTGACCTGAAATATAAGGACAGTTCTCCACTACGAGGAGGACCATCATGTCAGGGTTAGGGTTTGTGGAAAAGATGTTGCTTTGGGTATGTGTCGGCTGCTTCTTTATTGTGGGTAAGCTGTAGACCCAATATGCACACTTTTCAATCTGGATATGCTTTGTGACTTTCAGTCATAGAGACGTAAACTGTTAAGGCCCATTCACACCAACCATAACTGTGTTAGGGTCCAACCAGCAGACGGTAACGCTCTGTTTATTGTGATCGCATCTTTGACTGCCGCTTATATACTGAAGCATGTTATAGCAGAATTGATTCCGATTGGCTGTCAATTAAGCAATGTATCGCAATACAAAAATGCAACAATATATATTGTGGATAGTGACAATGTGTATTGTGGACAGTACACCCAAAATAAAAATTTCTGTGTGAGGGGAAACAATCAAGTTTACAGAGTTTAATTAGGCATTTTAATCAACAGTTAAAAAAAAGTTACCCTTTTACCACGTCTTGGAGTATCTCTATAATATCGTATCGTGATATGTATCGAATCGTGTCATTAGGGTATCGTTACACCCCTACTGCCAATGTTTCTAGCGTTTCTCAGCTGGTAAAATCGTTCTGAAAGTGATTTTTTTGTTTTTGTTTCTCTGTGTTGTTATCGTGTAAGCTGTGGTGTAGACTCTGCTATTCTTTAATACTGAGAGGATTTTTTAGGCCTATAATTTAATAGATATATAGTTTTTAGTTTGAACAGGGCTTTTTTTAGTTGGTAAAATTCATCCTGTCCTCAGCTAGCGGGGAGGGGTTTGCGTTTAGGGAGATTTTCTTGTCTAATATCTGCATTTTAAGGGTCATTTTAGGAGGGAAAGCATAAATAACATCCGCGTTCATACTAATTTGTTAAATGTTATGCATCAGAATGAAACCATTTTATGACAACAGCATACAATTGCTCTGTCTGATTTCAGATGACCACATCAAAGATGGTTGCAAAGAAAGGAGATTCAGCTTTGACTGGAAAGGAAATGGTATGTTGATGTTTATTATGTAATGTGTATTTGATTTATTTGACTTTATAGACAAGATCTACATGTATCAGCCTCCTCCTTACATGTTTTATATGTCTGTTTGTCCAAAAAAATGGCTTGGCCTTACATGCAAATGTCATTATCTGCATCATTGTTAGAAACCCAGTCATACTATTGAATGGTCGTGCAACACATTTTCCCCTGAGACGAGAGAAATCCGCTATTTACCTTTTTCACTTCCTCCTAAAATCGTCATTTTACGTCATTGTAGGAGGAAGTGTAAGAGGGGGGGATTTCTGTAAAGACTACAAGCTCTAGTTCCCACCCTTTCAAACCCGCCCATAGGGGGTTGGACCTAATGCGCTAACAGACACATCACAGATCAGTGCCGTGCGTTTGATTTCACCGGCAGAAACTTTTTCATTCCAGCGGTGCCAATTTCTACTGTACGATATCGAGATAAAAGCCGGAAGGAGGAAACTTTCACGGTGAAACTAAGTCGTAGCTTTCCTTGCTGTGCTGTGGATCGTTAATCGAAACCTAGAGGACTATGGTCGCGGGCGCCGCTGTGTGAGAAATAAATAAATAAGTGGAACGCAGTGTGTGTGTTAAGCTCACCCTACGGTTTTGATATTCGCACTAATAAAGTGTGTAAACATTCGCTCGTTATGGATGAACAAGACAGTGAAAAACGGACGGTAAAAATGACTGAGAAAGCTGTGGAAGAACACAAGTCCAGACAACTTCATGCACGCAGGTATAAGCTATCTCAGCTAACGAGCATGATAAAGCAAATAATTAGTTCGCAAAGTAACTCTTCACTAGAAATTGTGTGAAATGATTTCCAGGCGGTGGGTAGTGGGAGTGGCCTGCGGAGCTGAGCATTGCAATGCACTATGGGGATTGTTGTCTACAATCCACAAGCACTAAAAAGTCATTTTCTGCCTTTTATCGGCCAAGAAGGACCCAAATTAGAAATGTATGCTACTATTCTACTACATATATGACCCACTTTCAATACATATTCATGTCTCAACCGGTGGAATTACCCTTTAAACAGAAAAAAGAATAAAAAAAACACCATTATTAACCAGTTAATGGTCATTTCAAGTAATCGTTTCTGGTTTTTCCCCAGTTTTTGTTTTCATTCTTTGAACTGGTTCAGAGCCCTCATATTTACATAATAATAATAATAATAATTATGATATACCTGTTTGCCGTGTAGAGAAGATGAATAGTGTGTTGCTTTTTTTTCCCTTAGAAAAAACAAAAATGGGCCTGGGTGAGGCTGACAGCTCCACAGGTATGTGTGTGCGCATATATTTTAGATATTTATTTGAGAAAAAGGATACATGTTGATTTTATTTTCTATCTTCCACAGTAATTCAGTGTAAAGTGGTCCTTTTCATGTTACACAGGACCAGAGACTAGTTTTCCCTGTGTGCTTATCTGCTGATATTTCACATGGTCCGAAACTGTTTGGATTGTAGGGCTGGAATATATTTTAATTGTTGCTTTTTACCCCTCAGGAAAAAGCCAAATGAATCAGGATGAAACTGAGAACTCCAGAGGTATTTAAACATTTGGGTATATTAAAGTTATTCCATGTATATACATATAGGTGTATAGGTATACATATGTGTATGTATATGTTTGTTTGTTTGTTTGTTTTACAGAGACCAAATTGAGGAGAATTGCGAAAAGGCCATGGAGCCCAAATGAAGTGAATGCTGTCATGAAACATTTCAGAGTCCATATTTCAAAGGGACACCTTGCAACAAAGGCAGAGTGTGAGCAGTGCAAGGCTGCAGAGGACCCTGTTCTGAGAGAAAGAACGGCCCAAAATATAAGGGATTTCGTGAGGAACCGAAGTTTTATTTGGAAAAGAAATCTTCTTAGAGCTCTTCGAGAGATCAGTGTCGCCTTCCATTAAAGGTTGTATCAGCGATTTCAGGCCCAAATATAAATGATCACATTCATCTAATTTTTCCTAACGATCCGCTAGCTGCCCGCCCCATAAGTATGCCGTCCAAAAACCGCGTCTCTGTAGGCAGCCTAGGCTCTGAGATCTGCACACAAAAGGTGGGGGTGTTGTGGTTTGAGATTTTGCGGTGATTGGTTGGAACTGTCGGTGATTGGTTGGAACACTGTTTATTTTGGTTTTGAGTGGTTGGTGAAACCCATTGTTTTTGTGTGCAGATCTCAGAGCCTAGGCTGCCTACAGAGACGCGGTTTTTGGACGGCATACTTATGGGGCGGCCAGCTAGCGGATCGTTAGGAAAGATTAGATGAATGTGATCATTTATGTTTGGGCCTGAAATCGCTGATACAACCTTTAATGTCTGTGGGTTTTGTTCTCTAAAGTGTTGTTGGGCCAGAAGAGTGTTCAAGACATCCTTTTATTTACTTTTATTAAAACACTGTTTTGAAAGAAATGTACAAATACATGCATTTACTGGAAGGCAATTTAATTTGGTTTTATTTCCAGTGTGTTGCTGAGGTCATTTTGAGGCACACTCCCTCATGCACTTTAGTCCCATAATGGTTAGAGATGCACCGATTACAATTTTCTAGGCCGATTCCGATTTTTCCGAGTTTGACCTGCCGATACCGATTTTAGCCGATTCCGATTTCATTTTTTCTAACCACTTTACAGCACACACAAATATTTATTTTCTATTTTTTTTTTTTTATAAAACAGCATATACTTCTACCCAAACTGAATAATAAAAACAAGTTTAAATGGGTGAATTTTCTATAAATATTTTTGAGTCTTCTTCATTTTCTTTTCTGACATAGCCTACTCCAGTTCTTGTTAAAACACACTAGACATGCAAATTCTGTGCATTTTGGCCACTTTTTGTGTGAAATCATATTTATTTTGCCCATCAAAAAAAGTGTGCTTTCACTTTAATTGAGTGTGAGCAGCGCAGCAAAAATAGACTCTGTGCCGAAACCGCTTCACTGCTCACGCGCCGCTCCTGCTTGACGCTCTGCTCCCGCTCCCGGTGTGATGCATTCACTGATTAACATGCACGCCGAAAAAAATACACGCCTCTCACGCTTGCGGTGTGAAACGGCCGTAATTCACGAGGTTTTCTACATGTGCGTTCCGTGTGCACGTGTGATGCTGATGTTAATCATGCGGCGCCTGAGTGCGTTTGACCGGTATAAAATCGGCATATGTCAGACTGACCGGCCGATCGCCGGTCATGGCCGATCACGTGAAAATCGTCCAATTCCGGTCCCAAGCCGATCAATCGGTGCATCTCTAATAATGGCCTTATTAGATCTCAGTTGTTGAGCCTTTTTTTACCATTTGCAAAATAAAAATTGCCCTTTCAGTTTAATTTTGTTAGTTTTTATTGGCTGTCTAGTTGCATTTCTTCATCTAATTGCCCTTTAACTAGTCTTCTATGAAGTGTAAAACTTGCTGATCTTTGATCACTGAATTTTCTCCAACCAGGTTCATTTTGCACCACATGTGTATATGTTGGTTGATATAGCAACAGCACATTGTAGCACTATTTCCTTAGGTGTGCGTATTACTTTTACAGGTTTAGTGGCAGCAAAAAGATGCACAATCATTCACTCTTTAATGTAGAATAGTTGATTTGGTTTAGTATGGTTAACTCTAATACAGGTACTCCTGCTATGTGTGGAGTTAATAGTGATGTCCATTTAAACCCAGTTTGTCCTCATAATCAAGGGTTAGTCAGGTGTTTGTGTGTGTTTTAGAGGTCCAGTTAAACCCAAAATGTCCTCATAATCAAGGGTTAGTTAGGTGTTTGTGTGTGTTTGAGAGTGTGTGTGAGTGAGGTCCAGTTAAACCCAAAATGTCCTCATAATCAAGGGTTAGTTAGGTGTTTGAGAGTGTGTGTGAGGTGAGGTCCAGTTAAACCCAAAATGTCCTCATAATCAAGGGTTAGTTAGGTGTTTGTGTGTGTTTGAGAGTGTGTGTGAGGTGAGGTCCAGTTAAACCCAAAATGTCCTCATAATCAACGGTTAGTTAGGTGTTTGAGAGTGTGTGTGAGGTGAGGTCCAGTTAAACCCAAAATGTCCTCATAATCAAGGGTTAGTCAGGTGTTTGTGTGTGTTTGTGAGGTCCAGTTAAACCCAAAATGTCCTCATAATCAAGGGTTAGTTAGGTGTTTGTGTGTGTTTGAGAGTGTGTGTGTGAGTGAGGTCCAGTTAAACCCAAAATGTCCTCATAATCAAGGGTTAGTTAGGTGTTTGTGTGTTTGAGAGTGTGTGTGTGAGTGAGGTCCAGTTAAACCCAAAATGTCCTCATAATCATGGGTTAGTCAGGTGTTTGAGAGTGTGTGTGAGGTGAGGTCCAGTTAAACCCAAAATGTCCTCATAATCAACGGTTAGTTAGGTGTTTGAGAGTGTGTGTGAGGTGAGGTCCAGTTAAACCCAAAATGTCCTCATAATCAAGGGTTAGTTAGGTGTTTGTGTGTGTTTGAGAGTGTGTGTGTGTGAGTGAGGTCCACTTAAACCCAAAATGTCCTCATAATCAAGGGTTAGTTAGGTGTTTGAGAGTGTGTGTGAGGTGAGGTCCAGTTAAACCCAAAATGTCCTCATAATCAAGGGTTAGTTAGGTGTTTGTGAGTGTGTGTGAGGTGAGGTCCAGTTAAACCCAAAATGTCCTCATAATCAAGGGTTAGTTAGGTGTTTGTGAGTGTGTGTGAGGTGAGGTCCAGTTAAACCCAAAATGTCCCCATAATCAAGGGTTAGTCAGGGTTGTGTGTGTGTATGCATGATTCATATGGTTACTGATGTCCAGTTTAACCCAAATGGTCAGCAATGTTCATTTAGATACTAATAGCAAGTCTTGAACAATCTTCTCTTTTCAGATTAACAAAACCCAAACCCAATCAACTGGAAATATTTAGCTTTATTCAAAACTATCTTTAGACAAAACTTCTTAAAATCTAATTAATAAATTAAGACTGACATTCAAGGTTCAATTATGAAAAATACTTGTGGGTGAATGCATTTGTCAGTGATGGTTAAATAGTAAACTCTCCTTTTGGTTTTTTAATTTCTTAATTTTTAAAGCTAAAATATTTCCGTATTTCACTTTCCCTCTTCTCTCTTTGCTCTTCACTCACTTCACACCTGCTAAATCTCACATTACAAACTCAGGTTAGTTTTCTGAAATCTCTCTTAAAGTTTAAGCCAGGTTGAACAATTGCTGATATATTCTTGTTTTGTTTTTCTATATGCTGGTATTGAAACAAACTTAAGTGATGCGGCACTCTCATGGGTAAAGTTAGTCCAGGTTATACCAGGTTAGTCCTCATAATTAAGGGTTAGGTGTGTGTGTGTATGTGTGAGATGTCCAGATAAACCGGGGTTGTCCTCATAATTAAGGGTCAGGTGTGTGTGTGTGTGTGTGTGTGTGTATGTATGTGAGTGATGTCCAGATAAACCAGGGTAGTCCTCATAAATCACAATTAAATCAGGAAACGCCCACTCCTGCCCTGTCCTTACAGTGCTTTAGTTTGTCAGGTCTTCATATTACCAGACTGTTTCATTAGAATTAAATTCTGAGCAGTCAGCTTTTTACCCCATGCCATAAGGAGCAGTTTAATATTTCTTATTGATCTCTATGACAAAGGGAAAGGTGGGTCCCCATAAACCAGGATGGAACTTTTTAGGGGAAAAAGTCTTTATAAACCACCCGTACCAGTATGTGTGTGTGTGTGTGTATGTTTTCAATAATGCTTTTATTATTTTGACTTTGGGTGTGTGTGTCCATTGTGTTCTTGTCTTTAATCTTATAAAACAACAAATAATTCTTAGAAATTGACAAGCTCACAGTACCCATTTTTGATATCTGGTGTCTGATTTCCAAGGTCACAGCAAAAACTCACTGGGCATGAAATGAGCCCACTCCACTTTCACAACTCCTGGGCATGAAAGAGGTCTCAAAAAGAATATAAATGATACCCGCATGGGTCAACCTTTTTCATTCCAACTCATTTATCCGGTTTCATGATGGAAGACACCATTTTAGTTTTTCACTTGAACTTTGATGACTGCGATTTCTGTCAGGAGGATGGGATGCCGGAGGAGGAGGAGGAGGAGGTGCAGGACAACCCGGAGGGACCCTGCAGGAAACCCGGCTGCCTTCAGCTCAAGGCCGAGTTGCCTTGAGCTCCCTGAGTGCAGTAAAATAGTTTTTATCAAGACAGGAACTTTAAAAAAATATCTGTGTCCAATTGCAGCTTTTTGAATGAATGGTGGGAAATCATTTTACAAAAAAAGTGGGTTTTTGGACAAATAGTGGCTGCGTGGACACATGGTTTTTGAGCTTAGCTTTCAAATGTTTTGATAAAAACAATTTTACTGCACTCAGGGGGCTCCCCTGAGTCCATAGTACCCGGTTTAGTTGCAAAATTCCACCGTCCACGAACCCACTATTTTTTTCCAATGAATAAATGCGAGCAGCCTCCCGCCCCCGACCAGTCACCTCAGCAGGAGAGGCACCCGTTCCCCGACCACGTGCCGGTTCTGAGTGAGTACTTTGTCTCTTCTCCCTCTGCGCCAATGTTGTGTTTTTGTTCTGACCCCATGTGCTCTTGTGTGTTTTCTCTCTTTTCGCAGATCTCCTCCTCGAGAAGTTCCACGGCCACCAGGAGGGCGCCGACCCCACTCCGAGGCTGGTGAACAATGTGGGGTCGAAGGTGTTCCGCATTAGGAACTTTGTGGCGTTCATGGCGGGGGGGCAAACGGACCTGGCCAGCTTGGCGTTCCTGAACCAGACGGCGAGGATGCGGTCTTGGC